CCAGAAATTTGATTTAAGCAATCTGAAACCACAGGCATCTATGTCAACTGCCGAAGACACATTGCGACACAATGCATTTTTCAGGACTCTAATGTGATACTAACACAAAGCCGGAAGTCAGTTCACTTCTGGTACTCATGGGACAAATGACCAAGGGCACCACATTTCCATTCTGAAAAATTCTGTCAGTGACAGGGTTGTCCAGACAGGGTGCCAATCACATGAGTTTGGTGGTGTATTTCCTACAGCTCCTATTTGATTCCTCCTTTTCCTGTAGCAGGGTGAATTTTAAGAAGAAATTTTTCTATAAAACTTTTTTTTTTTTTAATCAGTGATTTTTTTAGTTTTCCTTCAAATCTAGGAAGTCATTCATGGTAGAGTTTGGACTTCTTTTTTTTTTTTTTTTTTTAATTTGAGACAGAGTCTTATTCTGTTCTGTCCCCAGGCTGGAGTGCAGTGGCATGCATGATCCCTGCTCACTGCAAACTCTGCCTCCCAGATTCAAACAATTCTCCTGCCTCAGTCTCCCAGGTAGCTGTGATTACAGGTGCGTGCCACCACACCCATTTAATTTTTGTGGTTTTAATAGAGACAGGGTTTCACCACGTTGGCCAGCTGGTCTCAAACTCCTGACCTCAAGTGATCTGCCCACCTCAGCCTCCCAAAGTGCTGGGATTACAGACGTCAGCCACCACACCACCCAGCCTCTTATTTATTTCTTGTTACAGTTGTTTATGTTGGGTTTAAGGTGATTTTGCTCAAGTCTCCAAAGTTACGAGCAGTGAATTGGCTGACCACAGAGAAAGGAAGCATGTGAGAATTTTGCATGCTTATATAATATTTATCACAGAATCCTTAGGCATGCTTCACTCAGGATATTTTGTGTAAAGGGAATCAAAAATGTCCATAGAGCCCTTCAAGACAGTGATATTCAAAGTCTTAGACCACAGTGAGATAGGAGTTTGACCAGAATGTGAACTAGGGCATTGCTTCCTTCATTACTAAAGTCTTACTCTCAGGAAAAGTTAGCCTAATGTCACATAATCAGCCAAACTAAAACCTTTGGATGTCTGGCCTGTTAGCTCCACTGTTGAAAGGTGCAGGAGAAATGGCAGCCCAGTGTTGTTACAGCTTAGGCAGGTTACTGAGTCTTTCTGAGCTCAGGCCCTGAGAAGGAAGGCACTGGTAAGGTGGAGAGGGAAAATGTGGGCCCAGAGCTCAGTGGGTGAGAGGAGCAACCGAGATCTCAGCAGAGGTGGTGCAGGCTAATGCCTCCCTAAAACAGAAGCTTCAAGACAGCTGGGGCTCTCGCGGGAGGGAGAGGGAGTAAAGGATCAGAAATCAGGTGTGCAGGCCCTGAAGTACCAGGGGATGAGAGATAGAGATGGCATCCAATTGAGAGGCTTGGGCATCCTTGGCACATTGCCGAGGTTTTATTTAAATCAGGGAGGTAAAGAGATGTTTAAGAAGAGTTGAGGAAATAAGGAGCTTGTGGAGTCACTGAGCTCAGAGTACACCGTGGAAGAGTGTCCAGGGGAGCTGAAGAGGCATGAGCGAGCCACGTTGGGAGGATAGTGTCTGGATAACCAGGGACTTCCTGTGGTGTTGTAGGGAAATGGAAAATGGGCAAATTGGGATGAGTTTTGATACCTTCTTAGAGGAGAATGGGAAGATGTTCTTAGCTCAATGATGTGAAAGTTTCAGATTAGATGTTCTTCCCACTCCTGCCGTCTTAGAGAATTGAGCTACTTTATCACCTACATATTTAAAAGAGTTGACCTCAATTAACTCAAATAACATAGTCAAGTACTATTTTTCTGTCACTATTATTATTAAACGTATTTTTTCACAGATATTTATAAAGCACCAGTTGTATGCACAGCACTGTGAGGACCTGTCAGGAATACAAATACAAAATTGTTATCTGTGCCCTAAGTAGCTCAGTCTTATAAAACAGAAATTTGGCCAGGTGCGGTGGCTCATGCCTGTAATCCCAGCACTTTGGGAGGCTGAGGTGGGTGGAGCACGAGGTCAGGAGTTTGAGATCAGCCTGGCCAATATGGTGAAACCCCGTCTCTACTAAAAATACAAAAAAAATTAGCTGGGCGTGGTGGCGCACACCTGTAGTCCCAGCTATTCGGGATGCTGAGGCAGAAGAATCCCTTGAACCTGGGAGGCAGAGGCTGCAGTGAGCCGAGATTGTGCCACTGCACTCCAGCCTGGGTGACAGAGCAAGATTCTGTCTCAAAAAAAAGAGAGAGAAATTTATTCCATGTAGAGATAATACACTGGCAAAAGGACACTGCTCAGATATCAGTGCCCCAAATTGTACCAAAGCAGATAAATGCAAATATAGTAGCCCATTTCCTAAAGAAAAGATGCACATTTCCTACTTTCAAGGTCAACATGGGAAAACCGCTTTAATCAATTTTAGTTTTGGAAATGATGAAATTGTGGCTTTGACCTTAAAAACTTACTTTCCACCAAAATTTTCTCCTGCTTGGACTATGAAAAGATAGAAGGTATGTAATCAAATACCAAAAAAAAAAAAAAGTTAAATACTTGCCTTGCTCTGTGTTAGAGTGAGAAGTAAATCAAGTGGGAATTTAATTCCCAATGAACATGTGACAACCAGGGAGTTAAATATTAGATTTAAATAGGGCAGCTAATTATCTGCAAGAATTACATTTGTGTCTTTATATGGGCACTCTCCCTAATGAACACATTTCTCTCCAATTCAGGCGTCACCACTGGAGCATGAGAAATTAATATACGTTCTTATATTCATCAATATTGTTGCTCATAAAAAGACCTTTTGATTTTTATCACCCTGAGTTCCCAGAGGCTCACAGAGGCATTCACAGCTCTGAACCACATGAATTATCAAGGGGGAAAAAAATCCTATTAAATCAAAATCTTAATTACCACTTGCATTTTCTATAAAGTTGTGTCCAAAAAGAAACTGAGCAGGCTATCCATCAACATGGAATGGATGGATAAACGGTGGTATCGTCCTTCCATAGAATCTTACACGGTGGTATGAGGGAAGTAATTCCTGCTACACACACAATACAACCAATCTCAAGGACACTGTTGAGAGGGATGCGAGACCTGCAACAATTCGTACTGTAGAACTCCGTTTAACGTAGGTTCGAAAACAGGTGAAGCTGAACAAGCTCTTGTTAGAGATGTAGCACTGGTAAGAAACTTACAAGGGAAATGATTAAGACAAAATTCAAGAGGATAGTTACCTGTGGGAGATAAGTAAGAATGTAGGTACAATCAGGAAAGAACACATTGGTGCTTCGAAGTTACTGGTGATATTCTATTTCTTAAATGGGATGGTGGGTTCATAGGTATCCATTTGATTATTATTATTTACTGCAGTTTAAACGGCAGAGATATGGTTTATATTTCCTTATAATGCAGTTCACAATCAACTAAATTTGAAAAATGTTATCAAATTACACCTCAGTACTGTATCTCTACTTTGAGTTGCACGAGGCATCAGGAGATATTTAGGGCTTGCTCTTAACCTTGGGAGCTTACAGATGTGATATAATTGGGGGATACATCAGAATACAATCAAGCCATGATAGAATGTCAGTTCAGAGAAAGAGGTCTTTGGTGGTCAAAGTGGTCCTGGAAAGCTCTATGAGAGAATAAGAATTTGAACGGGGCCTTGAAGGATGAACTAAGCAGAGAGGAAGCCTGGCAACTGTTTTTATGTTTTTCTCTATTTCTCTTATAAATCAAATCTCTGCTCATGCAATTTACAATTGAAAAGAGACTTTGTAAAGTAGAAGAAAAGACATGAACTCTGGAATCAGACAGATTTGGGTCCAAATCCCAATTCCATTCCCAGACTGTGAATCTTGGAAATTCCTGCAGACTATTTTCCCACTTGTAAAATGCGGAGAGGATTCTGTCACAGGATTGTGAGAATGACATGAGAGAATATAGTTGACCACACATTCCAAGCTCTAGAGGGCGTTTTGCACTACCATTCAGCAACAAGGAGTTCAGAAAACAATACCAGCCAAGACCCGGTGGAACTCCCGTGCTAAGGGACTCAGCATTTAATGTGCTGAGTGAGGAGGCACAGCTCGCATGTACTTCTGTCCTCTGCAGGGTGCCCTTGTGGGCCTCTCCTCCATGACCCCTGTCCTTTGGTGTGCTCCCTCTCTGGTTTCCACCTTGCAGCCAATGAGCTTCTGAGGGCCCTTAACTGCCTCCTGCCTTGTGCACCAAGAGCGTGTATGGATGAAAGACTTGAGCCATCGCTGCTCCAGACTGTAGGGAGGAACATTCTCTTGTCCTGGGATTCATCTGTTTTTGTCTCTTCTTGGCCTTGGAGAGCCAAGACTGAGCCATGATTTTAAAACAAGGCTAAGGATGCTAGTCTTTAGTGCAGACGTCTAGATGTTTCTGATCCAAACAAAGGAAGTCAGTGAGGCCCAGCCGTATTTTAGCTCACTCCGCCAGAAGGCTAAAACTGAGTGAGGCCAAAACCTTAATTAACAATGCACAGATCTTGCATTTTCCTTTTGTTTCCTCTGACTCTATCTCCCTTAGGAATCTGAGATGGCTTAACCAGGAATTCAGGATTGCTAGCTATCTCTCTGCTTTGCCCCACTGGACACACTACTAACAAATATATGCAAAGCATCTGGCTTATAAGAAGCCTGCCATTAATGTGAATTTCTCATTCTCCCCTTTTTTAGTCTATAAAGTTTATCAAGGATATTTTGCAGTCAGCAACTAGGTATCTACTTTAGTTTTATCAGAAACAATAATTGAGTTCTGGAGAATAAGGTGATGAAACCTTCTCCCAGCCATTTGGGGCGGACTGTGAAGATGGACACCCAGCCTTTTTGGTTCACTGTGCAGAGGAGAGACTCTTGGGCCTGGAAGCTCAGGTACAGGCCACCAACTCCTGACCTGCTGCCTTCACCTCCGTGTGCTTCAATTCCAATTTGCATTCTGTCTTTGTTTTGCAGTTGTTCAGCACATCAAGCGACATAACATTGTTCTGAAAAGGGAGCTAGGCGAAGGAGCCTTTGGAAAAGTGTTCCTAGCTGAATGCTATAACCTCTGTCCTGAGCAGGACAAGATCTTGGTGGCAGTGAAGGTAAGAGAACGTTCCAGAATGTCTCATTAACCATGATCACACTTATGTGTGGAAATTTAACTCCATTTTATTATATTTTGGTGGCCAATGCAGGAGCAAATCGTTCCTGCTATGGTGGATGTATCCAAATTCCTTTAAACTAAATGGACAGTCGAAAGGACATTTGGGGCACATCCAACTGTCAGAGGTTCTTCTCAGGGCCCACTGACAAATCTGCAGGCTGTGAGGAGCTCTGAGTACTCTTCCAAGTCCATACTAACTGAATTTTGGATGGAAGTCAGTGGGGCCAAAGATAATTTGACCAGCTGAGTCCTGAAGACTCACATGTGTCTCCTCAAATTGTTCGGTGCTTGTGCCAAGCTCAGCTGAAGCTTGTGTCAGGTTTATGGTTCTGGAAGGAAGGATTGTGGACTTCACTTCCCCTGTCAGCCTCTGTACCACTCAATTCTCTACCTTGACCCTCCCAGATGCGTACAAATCTCCAGGGTTTTATATAGCACAGGCATGATTTCATCCAGTGCTGGATGGCATCTCCTGTGAAATTCACCACCCACAGAGACTTGGTGGTTTTACTAAAACAAGGAAGACCGAAAGTCGTCCATCACAGTCATGTCCTCCCAAACTCAAAAAGGAGTCTTGGTCTCAAATAAGATAAGCATTATGATTGAAAGGCATACAATTTCCACTGAGCTCTCTAAAACACACGAATTAACAAAAATAGCACAAAAGGCTTCAGGTATTTTGCGTATTTTTTTTCAAAAATTTTTTTAACTCACCAAAATAATGAGTTTTTATATATATATATATATATATATAAACACTTAAAAGAGGCATATATTTATAAAATGAATTAAGTTCTAAATGAATATGGACATGGCTAATGTAATAAAATATAAGTTCTTGACTTAATATAAGATGATTGAATTTTTTGCTGTGTTTTATTTCTGCCAAACAGGAAACATTTTTACAAATGGCATTTATTTATTAGTTATAACCAGGACAACTTTTCATTTTAGAAAATCAGGAGTCTATTCCGTTACTGTTATACTTAACGTTAAAATGTTTCAGTACATACATAATGGGCAACTGAGAAATAAAATTATTCTTGCAGTCATCCGGCAGACTAAATGGTTTCTATTAAAGTTTATCCAAATAGAAAAACTGTACATTTGCTTTCTTTGTCATCAAAAACAACTAACCAAGGCGGCACGATACTCCTAAACTCTCAGAGAAGACTCCTAAACTCTGCACTTTGGGGTGAATAAAGAACAGACCTTCCTAGGAATGATAAATGTAAACATTTTTCAAATAAACATCATCTTCCCAAGATGGGCAAATGGAGCGGGAGAGAGAGAGAGGAGAGAGGAGAGGAAGGAGATCCTAGAGAGATGTGAGGTTGAATGGAGTAGAAGGTGGCAAAGTGAGAATCCTGCAGTCATTCTGGAGATGTTTAATTCTTGCTTTTGCTATTACTTCCTCTTTTCTTTTACTTACTCAGAAAGTTTTGTTTGTCATTGTTTAGCACAAAATGTTCAGAACATTTGGCAGTGTTAAATCTGCAGTCTCTGTTTTCTTCTTACTGTATCTTTTTTTCCCCATTTTGGTTGAATGAGACCAAAAGGTAGCTCTATTTTTGTAAATTCATAGTTGGATCACATGTTAGAGTTGGAAGAATCTTTGGGAACATCTAATCCTAGGCTAGCCATGTATTATAGACAAGAAACTTAAGACCCTGGTTTCGTGTTCTGGGCCCACATTTTGTACTGCCACCCAGGAAGCTAAGTCAGACCTTCAGACTCTGCATTCACTTCCTGGTGTCACAAGATGGACTCTTTGAATGTAAAGAAATCCTGGGAGACTAGGGAATCCTAGATGAGAGTGTAGAAATAGCTGAGAAACCTCAGGAAGATACAGAGATAGAGGCAACAGATTTCTCAGTGGATATGGCCTTTCATCTTAGTACCACTTCTTGCCCTGTGCCTACTTCTCTGTACTTCTTGAAATACCTTTAACGAGAGTGTGTTGTGTAGCTGAATCTAGGGCACCCTCAGCTTATGTGTTACATTTCCTTCCAAACCTATGCTCAAACAGGACTTCAGGGCTAACAACTAACAGTGAGGAGTCAGCTGGTGACAGTGAGGTTTAGCCTGGTACCTGGGTTGGCCTTAAAAGATATCTTTTGCCATTTCACTTTCCTGCCCACGGCATGCTTCTGTTTGGGCATATGTCCCATTACCACTGTCAGTGAGGCCCCTCTCTGGTTTGTATCCCAGTCACATTCCTAGTTCCACCTCTGAACCAGACCTAGGGCCTAGGCTTCACATACCTCCTGTCTTTGCCAAGTATTTGCAAAGTAATGGCCTATGATGAGTGTTTCTTTAATCAACACTGCTTTTAAAAAAGGAAAAACGGGATTTGATTCTTTGTTAAATCCCAACTCTTCTCTTTGCTAGTTTCATTCTTGTTGAAATTCAAATGAAACTATCATCTATCATCTCAGATAAGGAAGACAAAGTGCCTGCAGACTAAAAATTCATTCTAACTTGATGGTCACAAACCTAAGAAGTTTCATGTCAGTGACCTTACATGTGAATATATTTTTTTTTGAAATGGGAGGTTTTGCTTATGTTTGCTAGAGTAATTTCGAGCTTCAGAGAGGATGTTTATTTCAACCCTCTGGGATTCAGAGGCTGCAGACATGTAAGGGACTGGCTGGACCTTCCACAAGCTCCAGGGTGAATTGGATCAGAATAACCCGTGGACTTTTCACAGAGCTGTCACTCGCCAGGCTGACCTGCTCATTTTTAGGGCTTTAGGCCTATTGAAAGTGTATTCAAAGACTATCCAAAGGAGTCTGGGAAGAAAATGTCTATGGTTCAGCCCTGACCACAATGAAGGGATTTTTTAAAGGAAAGAAACCAACTGAATGCAGCTGCCGGGGACTGCACAGCTTCTCACCTCTGTGGAGTGACTGCCGGGCTTGCTCCTCTTCCATTGGAGACACCCAGGGATGTTTGACAGCCTTTCTGCTGTTGCTTAGCAACCCCTGCAGCATTGATTATGCATGCTAAGAAATAGCAGCTATTGTCCTTTTTCCTTCTCTAGAAGGAGCTGACTCTGGTGTGAAATCTAAGGCTTTCTGTTCGGATTGACAGATGTCAGATTCCTGTAAATTCTGGTGTTGAAGATTTAAGAGCTTGAGGGATCCATAGGAAGAGATTTAGGGTAGAAGTGATCCTAAGGCATGTGCATGACACTCGAGGGCACACAGAGCTGAGCATCCTCTCCCATCAGAGTATCTGCTTGTTTGGATCCAACTGGATTGTCCCTTTCCTGATATTTTTGGATGATCTTTATTTTTTTAGTGAAATGGATCTATCAACCATTTTTTTCCCCTTTGCACTGAGTTATAATAAAAGAACCCATAGAGAGGAGGAGAAGCAGAGAAACCAGTCTTTGATCAAACTGAGTTACTTTACCTTTAAGTAAGTCAATTGCCAAGGAAACGCTTCATCGCAGTTTCCCTGCATTAACTGTGGATGCATTAGCTATTTTTGGCTCCATCCAACCTGTATTTCCAAAGCTGCAATTCCTATAACATTTCCTTGTACTATGAATCCACACTGATTTTTGCTTTTTAAATATATCCACAAGTGTGCATTGTGGGATTCATGGTCTCTCCTCCCCTCCCCACTAACTCAGGTGTATTTCTAGAAACAAAAAATGCTGAATAGGAGAGAGACCTTAGAAATCACATATATAACCCAAGCCTCATGTTTTATGGATGAGAAAACTGAGACTCAAGGAAGTCGAGTGACTTCCCCAAGGTGTAAGTTAAAGTGAGTCAGAGGTGTTGCACAGGAAGAAGACTTGGCAAGATAAAAAATGGTAAAATTTGACTTCAGCAAGCACTTTCATTGGAATCTGACTTAGGATTTTTGCTCTTCATGTTCCTGAATTCTTTCTTGTCAACAGAGAAAATGATGATGTTTTTCTCCACCAAGAGTTTGGAAAAGTTTTCTGATAAACCCTCTAGCACATAATGAGGCAGGCCCCATGTGGCATCCAACATGTTTCTTCCATTTCCGTGTTGGGATGGCCCCTACCCAGCCTCTTGGTCCAGGTAACTCCCACCCACCCATCACCTCTCAATTCAAGTTGTCCCTCTTGGGGAAGATGTCCCTTGCTTGCACCTCCATCTAGGTCACATCTCCATGATATTTGCTATTAAAACATATGTACTTGTCCTTTATAGCATTTGTTAATATTTTAAAATTATATATGTATTTCTGGGCTTATTTAATGAATGGCATTGAATGTCTGTCTCCTTTAGTAGAGTGGCATATTCCCCAGGATGACAATAGTGCCTTTTAGCACATTGCCTCATATATAGTAGTATGCAGTAAATGCTTGTTGAATGAATGAAGGAATGGATGGGTGGGTGCATGGAAGAACAAAAAGATCATGAAACTAATAGCCTTTAGATAATTGGAGAGTTGGGCCAGGTGTGATGACTCACACCTGTCATCCCAGCACTTTGGGAGGCCAAGACGGATGAATTGCTTGAGCTCAGGAGTTCAAGACCAGCCTGGGCAACATGATGAAACCCCATCTCTACAAAAAATACAAAAAAAATTAGCTGAGTGTGGTGGCACACACCTATGGTCCCAGCTACTTGGGAGACTGAAGTGGGAGGATTGCTTGAGCCTGGGAGGCAGAGGTTGTAGTGAGCTGAGGCTGCACCACTGCATTCCACCCTGGGTGACAGAGTGAGACCCCAGCTCAAAAAAAAAATAATAATAATTTGATGATCTATTGATAGTCACAGACTTTTATAGCTGAAAGAAACTGTAAAGATGATATATATATATAGAATAATGTAACCTAACAAGAAATTATTTTAGAAGTGATTGAATCACTGTATAGATATAGAGAGCTAATATTGATATTCTTTAGCTTAACTCCACCATTTTGCCAATGAAGAAACAGGAATCCAAAGA